CATCCTAGTGAACTTAGTGATCCGCGTCTGCATCAATCGTCAGCGGATTTCGATTCCGTTTGCGTAATTAATTGATTCACGCTTTTTCGTTGCATTTACGTTTTCACCAGGTCCGAATGAAAGTTTCTTACAAAAGAAAGTTAAATAACCGAGTCTGGTCGTTACATCAGCAGTCTTCTATAATACGATTATTTGATACAATTAACGCTTTGAGTGCCGACGTTAAATCAATCGAAACTCTTGCTAAGCAATAATTTTATCCATCGATATTTATTATTATTAATTACTTTCGAGTGGTTAATAAACAATTCTTGTATAATAAAAACGCTTTAATTTAACGATGTGCGTCAATTTACAGCGCTTTGATTTCTAGCGATGCAATTATCATAACGCAGAAGGCATATTCTATTTAACGCTGAACTATTCTGTTCATGCGCTGGATTACTACGCGTTGGATAACTGTGCGCTGGATTACCACGCGTTGAATTACTACGCGTCGCATTACTACGCGTTGGATAACTGTGCGCTGGATTACCACGCGTTGGATAACTACGCGTTAGATTCCTACGCGTTAGATTCCTACGCGTAAAATTACCACGGGTTGCATTACTACGCGTTAGACTACTACGCGCTGGATTACTACGCGCTGGATATCCTCACGCTGGATTACTACGCGTAGAATTACCACGCGTCGAATTACCAAGCGTCGCATTACTACGCGTTGGATAACTGTGCGCTGGATTACCACGCGTTGGATAACTACGCGTTAGATTCCTACGCGTAGAATTACTATGCGTTGAATATCCACGCGCTGGATATCCTCACACTGGATTACTACGCGTAGAATTACCACGCGTCGAATTACCAAGCGTCGAATTACTACGCGTTGGATAACTGTGCGCTGGATAACTACGCGTTAGATTTCTACGCGTTAGACTACTACGCGTTGAATATCCACGCGCTGGATTACTACGCGTTGGATATCCTCACGCTGGATTACTACGCGTAGAATTACCACGCGTCGAATTACCATGCGTTGCATTACTACGCGTTGGATAACTGTGCGCTGGATTACCACGCGTTGAATTACTACGCGTCGCATTACTACGCGTTGGATAACTGTGCGCTGGATTACCACGCGTTGAATTACTACGCGTCGCATTACTACGCGTTGGATAACTGTGCGCTGGATTACCACGCGTTGAATTACTACGCGTCGCATTACTACGCGTTGGATAACTGTGCGCTGGATTACCACGCGTTGAATTACTACGCGTCGCATTACTACGCGTTGGATAACTGTGCGCTGGATTACCACGCGTTGAATTACTACGCGTCGCATTACTACGCGTTGGATAACTGTGCGCTGGATTACCACGCGTTGAATTACTACGCGTCGCATTACTACGCGTTGGATAACTGTGCGCTGGATTACCACGCGTTGAATTACTACGCGTCGCATTACTACGCGTTGGATAACTGTGCGCTGGATTACCACGCGTTGAATTACTACGCGTCGCATTACTACGCGTTGGATAACTGTGCGCTGGATTACCACGCGTTGAATTACTACGCGTCGCATTACTACGCGTTGGATAACTGTGCGCTGGATTACCACGCGTTGAATTACTACGCGTCGCATTACTACGCGTTGGATAACTGTGCGCTGGATTACCACGCGTTGAATTACTACGCGTCGCATTACTACGCGTTGGATAACTGTGCGCTGGATTACCACGCGTTGAATTACTACGCGTCGCATTACTACGCGTTGGATAACTGTGCGCTGGATTACCACGCGTTGAATTACTACGCGTCGCATTACTACGCGTTGGATAACTGTGCGCTGGATTACCACGCGTTGAATTACTACGCGTCGCATTACTACGCGTTGGATAACTGTGCGCTGGATTACCACGCGTTGAATTACTACGCGTCGCATTACTACGCGTTGGATAACTGTGCGCTGGATTACCACGCGTTGAATTACTACGCGTCGCATTACTACGCGTTGGATAACTGTGCGCTGGATTACCACGCGTTGAATTACTACGCGTCGCATTACTACGCGTTGGATAACTGTGCGCTGGATTACCACGCGTTGAATTACTACGCGTCGCATTACTACGCGTTGGATAACTGTGCGCTGGATTACCACGCGTTGAATTACTACGCGTCGCATTACTTGGATTACTACACGTTGCATTACTACGCGTTGGATTACCACGCGTTGGAT